TCTTTTTTCTCCTGAATTAATAACATATTTCAATCTTTCTTTGCAAAGTTGGTGATGGATTTTGAAGGGAAAAAAGGTAAATTCTTGCAATTATCCATGCTTTTTGCAGGAGATATTTTGGGCACAAACCAACCATCCGGCCAAATGCGAAAAAACTGAACAGGCTATTTGCAAACCGAGAAAATATGACATGGGATGAATTTTCCTCGCGAGTACGTACGTTTCAGAGGGGTTTCATGGGAAATCCTAAGGAAGTGCGGCCAGGCAGGGGTGCATTTCATGAGAATCCTGCTGCTTGTATTTGTGAGAAATCTGTTCAGATGAAAAGGGATGCAGATTTAGTCGCTGAGGATCAAAATACGAATGATGATCTAGAGTGGTCAGACCCTGACGAGGAAGATGATACAACAAGTCAGCAGGGTAACACTTTGTACAACGAGACAAGCTTGGAATATGAAAATTTGTCGTCTGATGAGCCTGAGTTGGATGAGTTGCTTTCAGATTGAAAAGACGTGAAGGTGTGGCAAATTCTCATGTGTTTGTACGGCCGCAGAAATAATTATTGGTAATTTGCAAATCAGATGCAAGCTAATTTTCTCAGTTGCTAATCTTCGGCTTTAATACTAGCCTTAGTGAGAACTACATGCACTTTTTTTTACTACATGGATTTTGACAAAAACTCTTAAAGGTGGCCCCAGGAATGTTGGCACTTGAGAAACAACTGTTTTGGGACAATGATGCAGCAGATTAGTCCTGGTCTTGTATATAGTTTTTCATTATTACTTTTTTTTTTTCTTTAGTTTTCGGTTGAATAGTTTGTCTGTGATCAAAGTGCGAGGCCTCTTGTATATTATATACTGTTATTTCTTTTCACACCTTATCATCTTTTTCACCATAACTAGTAATCACCCGTGCGATGCACGGGAAAATTACAATCTATGTGCTTTTCAGAAGGCAAATTTGTATATAAATTGTGTAATACTACAATGATCATGATCATAAGAACAGACATATAAACATATAATTAAACTCATAAGATCATTTATTATTGAACACTTTCTTATATACAACATTATTGGTTTGATTCTTTGGCACTTTCTTATAGGACATGGTTGTGATATAATGAGAAAGCTGGACAGATTTGGTTTGATCTTTTTATTTTCAGTTGAGATCCGAAATTTTGTAGTCGAAAAAGTTGATAATTGGAAATGAAGTTGGTTTTATATATCGATTTTGTTGTTTTATAGACGGATCTGGTCTAATATTTCGATTATAAGTCAAGATCTTTTAAATATAAAGTCGAACAATATGAAAACCAGAAAGGAAGTCATTCATTTTTTAAAATGGTCTTAAATATGAAACTGATCTTTTGTTTTTTAGCTTTTTCAAATTTTTTAACATATTCAAATGAAATGTGGTCTTGAACATTAAAACTCCCAAGAAATCTCTAAGGTAAGAGTTACTATAATATTGTCGTAGTTCATATTCGGAGCTATTGACTTTCTTATTGTTATCTGTTTAACCAATATCATTCATGTCCTAAGTGATGAGCTATTTTAGGTTTAAGCATGCTATAAATTGAATGTTATAAAATAGTCCATGAATTGGTAGACACAACACGATTGTATTATGAAAATGTCTCATTTCATCATTAGAGTTATGATTATCTTCTCAGAAGGTGAGCTAAATAAAAAAAAACAATAATTTCATCTTATTTTACTTTTTTTTTTCTTTTTTTTTCTTTTTTTTTATCTACAACAGTACTAACCCAATTACAAAAGTAAAATGTAAATATTGTTGTTTATTTTCGTATAAAACATTACAGTGATTGTTCTAGAAATTCAGTTAAAAGGTTTATGTGTTGACTGTTGTAAATGTCAGACCTCTGGAAATGTTTGTAATTACCGAATAACATTGATTCATCGATCTTCTCGATATTATATTGTTATGTATCTTCTAAAATCGAAACAGAAAATTGGAAAGTCGCCCTTGTACCTTATGTGTTCAGTTCTACCGTGAATAAAATTAGCATGTATTGTGCAATGATTGACCTATACATGTCAATATTACTCTCAACTTGATAGTTCTGAATTTCATAGACAACACCTTCTTTGAATTCATTAACTAAACTTGGGATGTTTATTGCTCTTATTACTCTTGAAATTCAACCCCGTGTAAAAAAAAAAAATATTAAAAATTTAAAGCAGGAAAAAAATGAGAATGAGAATTGATTATTAAGTTTGATTGTGAATTATACCTCAGTGTCATAAAAGACAATTTCAACGATGTTCTTGTAGGATAAATATTCATTACGCCTTTCAAAAAATCAAACCACTCTTAGCTTAATTATATGCTTGTTGGTCCTTGTTATTCGCTTGACGTTGCCCCCTTGCTTTTGCCATTTCTCTGCTAGTATGTTCAATTGTTGAGGGTGTGAAATGAGTTGCGGTAGGTGATGTTCTACGTTTGCAATTTATAGGAATGAGATAATTGGTTTTATATTAATTATATCATTTCAAAAATGAGTTTTATAAACATCAAATTTTGATTTGATGATAAGATAAGGTCAAAGGTTTTGAATAATAAATTGGGGGCGTTTTTATAGATTATTTGAGTATTGCATGTACACGTGTGTCCTACTTAAAAGAATTCCTATTATGTAACGTTTATATGTATATGCATAAGAATACCATAATTATGAGATTCAATTATTAAAAAAATGTATTTTATTGTATTTAATTAAGTGATGAGACGGTAAATTCAAATTAAAATTTACAATTTGAAATTATGTCAGGATAAGTCTATCTATTTAATGTTAAATTATTTGGGTTGTTTGTTTAGAATTGTTATTTGTGTGGAAACTGTTAGTGTTATATACTGAAAGCTTGGCGTTGCATGATATTATACCTCACTATGACTAGACCAGACATCAACTTCAGTGTCAATAAAGTCAGTCAATTTATGCAAAATCCCCTTGATACTCACTGGAGAGCTGTAAAGAGGATATTGAGATATCTTGCTGGAACAAAACATCACAACCTTAAGATTTCTCCATGCCAAAACTTCAATATCACTGGCTATGCAGATGCTGATTGGGCATAAGATGTTGATGATAGAAGATCAACCTCAGGGATATGCATTTACATGGGTCCAAACATCATATCATGGAGTTCAAAGAAACAGGTCATTGTTTCAAGATCCTCAACAGAAGCCTAGCCCTAGCAGCTTGTGATATCCTTTGGATAAGATCATTACTGCATGAACTAAAAGTTGAACACAAGAATCCTAGTTTGCTTTGGGTTGATAACTTAGGAGCAGTTCATCTTGCAGCAAATCCAGTGGGCCATGCCAGAACAAAACACATTGAACTTGACCTTCATTTTATCAGAGAAAAGATCATGAAGAACATCATCTCAGTGAGACATGTACCTGCTATTGATCAAAGGGCTGACATTTTCACAAAACCTATTACTGGTCAATTCCATGCAAGGCTCAGAAATCAGCTCAACATTCATGGTGGACCCTTGATAGAATTGAGGGGGCATATCGAGACCAACATGGTCAAGAAAGTCAGCAAAACCATTGAGAAAGAAAATGAGATGGATGATGAGTCACTGCATGGTCCCATGCAAGCTGGAAATATCACACAAGATGTGTGTTGCTTGTCTTGTAGTGTAGCTAGTAGACATGTCCACGGGTCGAACCGGCCCGCCGAACCAGCCCGGACCCGGACCGAACCCGGCCCGGCCCGAACCGGACCCGGCCCGGAGAAGCCGGTTTTCAAACCGGAACCGGACATCTAAAGGGCCGGTCCCGGGCCTTTTCGGTCAAAAAAAAACCCGGCGGGCCGGGCCCCGGTCCGGGCCGGTCTCACTCCACACACCTCACTCACTATCTTCATCTATCTCTCCCAAACTCCCACACTCTCTCAATCTCTCTAATCTCTCCATTACTCCATAATAATATCTCTCCCTAATCTCTCTCCCACTTTAATTAAAAAAGAAATATATATCTACTTAATTTTTAATATAAATTTTACCTAATCTCTCTTCCTCTCCCTAATCTCTCTTCCTCTCCCTAATCTCTCTTCCTTTTTGTTTTTTTGTTGTATATTATTTTTTAAATTCAAAATGTCGAGCTTTTTTGGTCGTGGCCGTGGTTCGAAGTCCGGGCCCTCCGGGCAAAAGCGGCAACGGGAAGGCGCATCGTCGTCGACACCTCCATTGCCCTCATTTGCGAATCCAACGATACATGTAGATGTCCCGGGCGTGACCGACGATATAGATGCCGCCACAATCGATCAAATGTTCGATTTCGTTCAGCCTCCACCCTCACACGAGGTGGGCCCAGAGCAGCCGTACGAGGACCATCTCGACGATCTATTT